GTGAATCTTACCGCTCAGCCAATGGAGGTATATAATTTAATTGAATTTACACGATTGATCACCTAAAATCATTTGTTTGAAACGTAGATATGCTGCTGTAGGATATTTTTGGGTTTAGGTTTACTAAACCCTATAATTAGTTCAGTAATTACAGTGTTGAGTAGGTTATATTAAAGCGATTTTGAATATGCTAATCACCGTGTCACGTGACAACCATGCCCAGTATAAAGTCGCAGTATCGCAACTACATTTCGACACTATTTGACATTTTGTAGGAAGTATGATGCTATCGAAAATTGATCACTTTTGGGGAGCGTATGTAGCAACCCTTTCCAACGCAAAATATCCATACATTCAGGCCTTAATAATGTGTTCACAGCGGAGATATCCCTTGTACTTAAAGTATTTGAAAACAAAGGAATGTGGATCAACCTAGGGTATCAAGACCATCCGAAAATAAACCTACAACAAGTCATATCGTGGTGAATAAAGTGTAACTGGCGAGAATCCACAAGCACAAATGTCAGTAACTAAAACCGTTCACGTGCTCCAAGCAACATTAAGCAACATAAAAAAAGTCCCTGTTGGTAAACTAGGCCAACAGGGTATGAGTTCACCAAGATAAGACTTCCAGTGATACCTCACACTCAAATGTTCCATACCTAAAGCAGCTGGACAGTAAAATGCGTGTTGATGCTATTCCAAATTATCAAGTCATCGGATGCAGTGTCTATGGATTTATGTGCAAACGGACTTTTGAAACAGACGCTGGAAAACCTTGTTCCTGTATACTAGATGGATTATGGAAAGTTTACAGGTAGGAGGGTTGTTCTTTTGAAATGAAGCCTTCTGAGGGAGCCTTTTGCAATGGAAACTATAATGTAGGACACTGGCTCTTGTCAAGGTGCGGGGTTTTCAGATACAGCATGACTAGACATGGCGACACAGACTATAACAACGTGGTAAGGCTCCAAACTAGTTTTAATATAACGTTCTCAACCTCTGTATAACAATCAGGCTTAGGTCTTACTCCGGGAATACGTGTTAATCAAATATTGGATGTAATGATTTAATAAGTAGTTTTATTAGCTTTCTGTCTGAGGAACCCATTTTGCTTTAAAAACCATTAAAATCAAATGTAAGCAAAATATCTGGTTCCTAAACCTACAAATTTGAGTCATGTATTATTTCGTTAATTTTGAACTCCATATAATAAGCTAAACATACTTGGATTTTGTGTGGTTGTAGTTTTAAATTATTCAGCCTAAAATATGTGTATGCTCTTCTCAAACTACTATATTCGCCAAAATATATCTCATTTAAACTAAATGGATGATTTACAGTCGTGACTTAAAATATATTCACTAATAAGCCAAACGTATCTTGTGACTGTTTACTTTAGGCTCAGAAAATGTACAAAGTGGCTCAAAGGTCGTTTCGTCATGTAATACAGATTCTGAATGCAAGCTAATGCGTTGAAAGCCACATAAAACACCAAATTGTTCAAAACAATTTTATTCTCAGTAAAATGTAATTGTTCTACATGCCACTTATTGTGGAAATATATGATGCATTAGTAACGAACGGATATTAACCTGTTAACACGATTATTTGATGGCTGATCTCTGAAGGCAGAAATGATAAGAATATAACATGTGAGCTAATATTATATTAAGTCATTTATAATTTTGATTCTCTATGAAGACAGAAATGATAACAATATAACATGTGAGCTGATTTTATGTCAAGTCATTTATAATTTTAATGCTCTAAAAATGTTAATGGAGATATCAAATTATTTGGATGATGTATTTATTGTATCATCTTATTGTGGCCAGGAATAAATAGCTATACAACCAGCATATTAAAAATGTAAATGGTTGGTTTTAATTTCTCCGTTGTGTCATATGATTAAAGAATCGTAACATGTTAACCCAATCAACTTTTACTATATAGTGTGCCATACTTTCAATATATTATTCTTTCATTCATCATGTTGGAGATTTTTGAAATTCGACATTTTTATGTGGTTACTTTTCATTATGATTTTATGAAGACACGTTTTTTACTCATTGAATTAGAATGTAGTATTTGTATGAAGATCACATACCAACGAATTCACCTTTTCAAGGTATCATCTCAGAGAGTTGAATTGAATTACAATTTATGGTAAAAATATGTTTTCAGCAAACGGAAGTATAAGGTGTAACGATGGTAACGCCTTATGTTTATAGCATCCATACAACATCAGTCGACATGAGTTATCTGTGTAACGATGGTAACTCTTTATGTTTATAGCATCCATATAACATCAATCAACATGGGTTATCTCAAAGTCACAAATGTTCCAAACAATACGCTCTGGATAGAAGTCATTGTTTCATACGTGTGTGAAGCTCATTTGTACCGCAGTCAACCCATTTCATCTTCCTCACCAAAAACATGCAATAAATAATATATTTTTAGTGGGCACTACTTTTATTACTTTCGGTATTTTTCTGGTAATATTCGAGGATTTTGAGTCTAGATTATAAAAACAAAAATACGTCATTGCATTTTGATAACATAAAAACCCTATTTCTCAAATTTGTTGTTGCTGTTTGGTTAGATCTTGTTTCAAATTTTCTCCTGTACATTGAAGAGTGTAAGTATACATAGAAGTTCGTCCCTGAAAGGAAACTCAAAGTCACTTTTCCCCAGGCTCTTAAAAAGAAGCATATTTATTGACTTGTGAACTTTAACTAAATTTAATATACTTTTTGTTTTTCACTTTAAAAGGCTGCTTCTGGTTTATTCCACTTTTTTTTCGAGAATACTTTCATCAGAATTATTTCTTGATGAACTGTATTGACGCAATATGCTAAATTTTACATACGATCTATTGTCACCAAAAAGATGGTGTAAACTTAAAAATCTTACTTGCCCTTGGCGATATTGCAGACAGTAACGAACCTTTAACAATGACTGCCTCAGGAACAACGGGAATATCTAGAGAACGAGACTTGAACTGAGCTTATATTAAATTCCAGAAGCTAATCTAAGTATGACGCGAATTTGCGTGTCCTTTTATACAAAACTTTTGTTTCTCTTCCCTAAGCGATTGTAACTAGGCGAATAATATTGCTCTAGACTTTTCTTCCTTTCTTATACTATAGTTTGAAGGGTATCCTCTGATTCGAAAATTTTGCTGTAAATTTTCGTTAAATCGATTTCACTTGCTGCTTTGAACATGAAATTTGTTCCTAAGCAGTGTTGTCAAAAAGACAGCTAAAGATAAGTAAATACATTTTAAACAATCCTTTAGTAGTTTCTTTTTTTGCTTTTTACTTATCGTTTTTCTTATGAAAACACCTTTCGTAAAGCATTGACTAGTAGTTGGGATTGACCGAATGAAAGGTTGTTTATTAACTTTAAATTTCATATCATATGAAATTGATGAGACGTTCTCTAAGTTAAATAAAAGTTAAAGTAAAGAACGGTAAAGTTATAAAGTTTCTTGTGATGGTAAATAAATAAAACTAATTGAGTAAACATACTAAGTTTGAAGTCCATTCCCCAAGTTATTACGGAAAATGATAAACATATGTAATCGTGTGTAAGTAAATAAACATAACAAGCTCGGCCAGGTGGTTAGGGCGCTCGACTCACAATCTGAGGGTCGCGGGTTCGAATCCCCGTCACACCAAACATGCTTGCCCTTTTAGCCGTTGGCGCGTTATAATGTGACGGTCAATCCCACTATTCGTTGGTAAAAGAGTAGCCCAAGAGTTGGCGGTGGGTGGTGATGACTAGCTGCCTTCCCTCTAGCCTTACACTGCTAAATTAGGGACGGCTAGCGCAGATAGCTCTCGTGTAACTTTGCGCGAAATTAAAAAAAAACATAACAAACTCAAAATGAAAGCTTTTTTTCAGTGTGAACCAACAGAACTACCTATACACTTATAAGACAAGAATAAATGTTCTTCGAATGTATGTGAATTTAGCACATTTAGGAAAATATTAAGTTCTGTAAATATACATACACCTAACCTCAAATATGAATATTTTTTTCTTTCTTGAGTCACATAAGCTCAGTTTATTTGTTTATTAAGAAAGAAATTTGTTTATTACAAAGAAATGGTTTAACGTCTTATATTTATTTAAAATATATAGATTAGCCTTTCGCAAGTGTCTTATCCATGGTTCCATGTTACATTTTGGAGCTTATGACAACATTTATCAGAAACATAGTTATGATATATCATCAACAAATATTTTATCAAAGTTTTTTTTAGAAATTCCACGTACATATAGTTACTTATTTGCTGTTGTTATTTTCTTCTTTATTTGTTCTGAATGGAACGTAATAAACAAAACATATTCACGTGGTTTTACTTAAATAAACCGGCGACAAAAGCCATCTCTAGGTTCATAATTTCTTGTAGTTGTACTGAACCGTTACAGTTTTATTGTCATTCAGGTTCTATCGAAACGACAGTATTTGTATTGTTAACTAGGTATGCAACGGTCATTGCCATTAAAATGCATCTCCTGTTTGAACTTAACATTTACCGTATTAATTATTGACCTAAACTAGTGTTTCTACAGAATTCCTCCATCGAGTTCAAGTGATTCGTATTTCGTAAACAGAATTATTTAAAGGTATTAAATTATGAGAAACTCACTTAGCCACGATGAAGGAAAGTTAACTTTCTGAAAGCGTTCGAGTTGCTGCGTTCCTTTTCTGATGTTAACATTTTTGTTCATTCTGCGTGCTTTAGAATATCATGAGAGAAACACATATTGTTAAGACAAGCTTATAAACGACTGGATAACTGTTGTGCCAGTCAGCTGTTTCATTTAAAGTAATATTTCACTGATAAGCTACTATTTGCCAAGATGTAATATTATCCTTTCATTATTCCTGCTATTGTTTGAAGTTGTTGAGTTTCACTAAATCGCTTTGAAGCACGAAACAAATATCTTATTAACAAACTGGTTTAATTGTTTTTTCTGAATAGAGTGTTCCGTCTTCTGTGACCTGCAAAGAACAGTCAGTGAAGTTAGAGAAAGTGCCAAGGTGAGTACCAAATGGAATCTTTATTTTAGTTATGGTAGAATATTAAAACTAAGCGTTTGATTTTAACTACCACAAAGGTAAATACTACACTACGTTTGTTTCTTAACAAAATACAAATTATGAATGGTCTAATTTAAAATGGAATGACTAAATGCTGAATATAATATTTAGAAGTTTTTTTTTGTTTGTTGTTAAATGCAAATCTACACAAGAGGCTATCTGTGTTGTGCCAATTAGGGGTATTGAAACCCAATTTTTAATATATAAGCCCTCAAATTTACCGCCGCTGAGGCAGTGGGGACATTTAGAAGTTAATGCATATCATATATGAAATTCGTACTTTGAAATTATTTAGAGATTATTCTTATAATATATTTTTCTATTTTCTTTTTGTTGTTGTTGTTACTACTTCACAGCAAGGTCCTGATCCTGTCTGCTTCTGTTGTTGTTGTTGTTTTTCTAGATTGCACACACCGTAGTTTAGTAGGTGTAATTCAGACGTCTGAAAACTTGTTCTGAATAACGTCATTTTAGATGAAGTATCTGTTATCTGGATGATAAGTAGATCATGACCTTCACTGATTTTTCATATTCTCGAATCTTCGTTGTTTGTGGATCTGTGATGGTGTTTATTTTGTTTTATGTGGGTCCTCGAAGACGGTTGAAGAACGATGAGTCCCTAGTGATCGTGTAGTCTTTTCTCATGGCAGTGATGAGTAACCCTTTCACATGTGTGACTCTGCTAGACTTTGAATCGAAGGGGTAGTGATTTCGTTACTCTTCTTTTTAATTACCACCAGAACACCCACCATTTTTCTAGACTGACGTGAATAGAGCCATTTATCTGCATTTTTATTTTTTCATGCGAGATTTTGCTATTAGGTCCCTCATTTGGAACTTTTTATCTTTGCTCGGCTTGCAGTAATTCGACAGAATTGTTCTAATTTTCCTTTGAAACAAAACTTCAGTGGGTGATTTTCCTCTTATGGAATGTGGAGTAGTTCGAAATTTTCGTAAAAATTCTCCAAAGTTTCATGCCCAAGACATTGCTGTAAATTGTCATTGCATTGTACTTTCTTCATAATTCTCGTATATCTTTCTGCTTTAACATTGGTTCTGGACAATCGTAGTGTAATTTTTCTATGCTTCAAACCAAGGTTATGGTCAAAGTTTTTGAAGTCTTGGCTGTTGAATGTCGTTCCATCATCGGTTTCTAATATTCGATGTTTACCGCAGAGCTCCAATACGTGATTTAGGCTTGGCATAACAGTTTCTGTTTATGTGTGTTTTACAGTTTCGACTAAAGGATACTCTGAATAGTTATCCACGATTACAAGCAAAATGACTGATTGTAGTGTCTGGTTATTTGTTGTTTCTCAATTTTAATTCTTACTGTGTCTTGGCTTTGGTGGGTGAGTTTCCTGTTAGTTACGATATGTATTCCTCCATGACTTTTCTAGCTCTAATAATTTGCGGGGCTTCTTTCTATTACGACGTCGTTAAATATAGTCATCTGGGTTGCTTTCACCAAGCCGACAAATTACGTGAAGGAGTGCTCCGGCATTAAATCCTTGAATGTGTTTGGGATCTTTGGTTATTAAAAATAAGTTGCAAAGCTTTTTTGATTGTCATCAGCTTGAATAGTATGACATAGAGGTGGTAATGTTAACATGTCCATACTATGGCGAGATATTTCGTTTCTGTCCGTGAATTATTTTTTCCTCTACATTAGTGAGTGCTCGACTGGCACAAGCAATGATATTAGCTTCTCTGTCTGGTATTCTCTTCTATGTTAAGACGGTTCCTGTTTCTACAGAGCTGAAGTGAACAGGAAACTTCTGTGAGTAGATTGGGGCCAAAATTTATCATCACGTTGTCTCTTTTAAGTCGCTGTTTTTGTAGAATTGATGTATTCATGGGTTATCATGTTCATATCCGCTATCAACTTATATTTGTGGACTCACGTAGGGAGTGTGTGATGATTGCAAATTTAGTAGGAAACATCCAGAGTAGTTTGTAAGACTTTTTTGATGATCGGGAGACATCTCTTCTTTCGAGAATATGTACCTAAAGTATTCGAGTTCAGATATATTATATTTCAATTTCTCTTGTTTAAGAGTTAAATATTGTTTTGGTAGAGAAACTACGGTTTCTGAAACCCCTGGTTGGTTGTTTGAGCTCTTAACGCTTAACGTTCTTTTTGTTTT